CCCCCCCCCCCCCAGTTTTCGCCCTGGTCCTGTGGGGAAACACACAACTTCTTGTGGGGGTATTACTGGAGGGGAATTTGATGTTACCTGCCAGACCTGCCCAACCCCGGGAGAGACCGTCCGCATTCCCGTGGCCATCCCCGGCCCGATGGTGTACTTGGAAGCAGAAGTCCTGGAGTGCGAGGAACCACCGAGTCACCTGGGTGTTCGTGTCCTTTGCCTTGGACATCCATTGGAGTGGCGCATATGGTCTGTGACAAGGGTGAACCGGCAGCCCCAGAGGTAGTACTTCAACTCCAGTACTGCCCACTTTATGGCCAGGACCTCTTTCTCCAGCGCCGCGTACCTGGTTTCCGCGGGGGAGAGTTTCCTGCTGTTATAGACCACGGGGTGTTCCTCTCCATCCCGGAGCTGGGAGAGGACTGCTCCTAAGCCGGTGCCGAGGCGTCAGTATACAGGGTGAAGGGGCAGCCGAAGTCTGGGGCATGCAGGACCAGAGAGGACGTCAGGGCCGTCTTGAGGGCCTGGAAGGCGGCTTCGGTCTCGGGAGTCCAGACTACCTTCTCCAGCTGCCCTTTCCTGGTAGGGTCTGACAGGGGGCAGGCTATGGAGGAGAAGTTAGGGATGAAGCATCGGTAGTAGCCCACCAACCCCAAAAATGCCCGTACCTGCGTCTTGTTGACAGGACGTGGGAACTTCTTTACCGCCTCGACCTTCCTTTCCTGGGGCATGATGAGCCCTCTTCCAATTTTGTAACCCAGGTACTTTGCTTCGGTGAGGCCGAGGTGGCACTTCTTGGGGTTGGCAGTAAGGTCAGCCTGCCGGGGCTCTGACAACACCCTCCGTAGACGCTCTAGGTGAGTCTCCCAGCACTCCGAGTGTATGATGACATCATCCAGGTAAGCCGCGGTGTAGGCTTGCTGGGGCCGGAGCAAGATGTTCATCAACCGCTGGAACGTGGCTGGTGCCCCGTGTAGGCCGAAGGGTAGCACTCGGTAATGACAGTGGCCGTTGGGAGCGCTAAACGAGGTCTTCTCCTGGGAGCTCTGGGAGAGGGGCACCTGCCAATATCCTTTGGTGAGGTCCAAGGTGC